AAAACAGGCCTATTAGCTCAAATAGCTTATGCTCATCTAACATTTTCCTCCATTTGAAATAGTTCAACTTATTATTTTTGATCCACTCTGATCAACAGTTATTTTTGCATAATTTCATTTTACTTATTTATTTAAATACCGTGGCAGTCATATTTGGGAAGTTTTGATTCCTGAGGCCGATTTGACCCTAAACCTGAAAGTTATTAAATTGTTTTTTTTTCCCCTTCTTTTTTGCTTTGTTGTTTTGGGTTGCATTTTCGGTTATTGTAGTCAAAAGGTGGATGTCAAATATAGTCAAAATATTGGAGTCTGGATAAGCTTCACCTTTTAAGTTCATCAGCTTAAAAAACCTGAAGAAGCTCTGCTAACTTGTTCAGGTTTACAGTGTAGCTTTGCATAATTCACAGTTCAATGTAAGCCTCATAAACCTTAAACTAGACCTTGATGTAGCCCATCAATTCATCCACTGTCTAAAAATAAACTCCTTTCAGCTTCCTCCCTTCAGGTCAGCTTTCTTCTGATTGGTTGTTGATTGGTTTGCTGAATAGGTGTGTGGCCTGTTGTGCTGACCATAAGAAAAGAAAAGAAAAGAAAAGAAAAGAAAAAATGATCATGTTTTGGCTCACAGGGATGATTTTTTCATAGGCTGACCTCTTTATTTGATAATTCTGCCATGCTTATTATAGGTGTCCAACAATATATGACACACATAGCTTGCTGTGCATGTTGCTGCTCATTTTAGTTCCACAGCAGCATATTTGAATTGTTTTAGTTGCTTACTTGCTTTGTTTTGTTGTTGTTGTTGTTTTGTTTGTTTTTTTGTCTTACTCTGAAACTACACAAAGGGTGGCGTTAAAAAAAACAACCCATCATGGCAATGTGCTCTCTAAGTTTATTTCACCTGATCATTTGATCGTTCCCTTAGTTCCCAAGAAGGGGGACTTGTAACAATCCCCCCCCCCCTTTTTTTAGTATTTAATCCATGAAAGTCAACATGGCTTTGCAATTTTATTGCATTTTCAGTAGCAAAACACAAACCTTACATTAAGCTGATCACCCCCCTGTTTGCAGTTTCATGAACTGTTACATAACCTCTCGGCATTAGACCAGCACACGTCATGAAACCGAGGAGTGTTAGTCGTTTTTCTCCTTTCTTTGCCCCTCCCCTGCAAAACGGCAGGTGCCTCTGGTAGCAGGAGGTCGGGAGGATGGCGGTGGAGTATCATCCAGCAATAAAAATACATTTATACGCGTTGAATCTTTCCACTTTTAGACCATTAAAGTCGCACTCATATTTCGTCAGTCCACTGGCCGTTGACGCAGCGTTATCCAGAAGGTGTGTGTCACTATGTGCACGGACTGCCTCTGCGTCGTCTCTGCGCCCCTCCCTCTCCGAGTCCCAGTATCACCGACAGCCCCGCGATGCTGTCATAACCAACACGTTTATCGTTGACGACGCAGAGAGGGGCTGCCGTGTTTTCTGAATGGTAACTGTGATCGGGTTGCATTGATTCCTAAGCAGAATACGGGCCTTATGTATGTATGTGCGACCACCTTCGGAGACATAACGGGCTGCTCGTTACAGGCTGAAGCCGTTTCTTCGAGGATACGTGCGCGTCATATGTTATAGGCTATAGCTGAGGTCCATGTGAATACATGCCTTTAGATGTCGGGAGGCTTTCCGAGGGCAGTACTGAGCTATAAAAGTGCGGCAGCGATGTGCACGTCCGACGGCCACACGGAGCGAGCGCAGTGAGAGACCGTTTGTTCCACTGTAGTCTTTGACTTTTCAGCTGTCGGTCACAGGCAGGGTTCAGGCTCTCCGCTTCAGCTCCTCACTTGGTTCACCGCCTGGTTTTATGCGACGTCATGAGTTGATCGCGCCTGACAGATGTTGCTGTGTTGCAGATGCACAGGCATCGCTCCTCACGTTCTTCTCGCTGCTGTTTAAGCGTTGATTAGGTTAAATAATAATAATCATAACAAGAAGAAGCTGATTATATTCTAAATGTTAAGCCCTCGCTTTGCTCTCGGACAGATCGCAGCGTTCATTTAGTCTTCGTGATTGCATAAAATGATACCTGGATCCGCCGCATCAATGCTACCGTCAGCAGAAGCCGCGAAACTGTACCAGACCAATTACGTCCGCAACTCCCGTGTGATCGGACTTCTGTGGGCCATCTTCACTATTCTGTTCGGTATTGTTAACGTGACCATCTTCTCGCAGCCCTATTGGATTGGAGATGGCATGGATACGCCGCAGGTCGGCTACTTCGGCCTTTTTCATTATTGTATTGGAGACGGAGTCTCCAGAGACCTGACCTGCCAGGGTAGCTTCACTGAGTTCTCCGCTATCCCCTCTGGTGCGTTCAAGGCCGCTTCCTTCTTCATTGGAATGTCTATGATGCTGGTCGTCACCTGCATCGGCTGCTTCAGTCTCTTCTTCCTCCTCAGCACATCCACCGTGTACAAGATCTGTGGCTGGATGCAAGCAGCATCAGGTAAGTGTCCTTTCGGAGGCTAGCTCACCGCCACTGCTTTTTTTTTTTTTTTTAACGTATTTTTAAGTATGAATATATTGCCTAAATGTAAAATGCCTGCAAGAGCTTAGAAGCTGGCCAGCTGTTTTCTGTGTATGCTCTGCTAGGCTCAAAACACTGGGATGGATCGAATTTTGATTGATGAGTTGATGAGATAAATTAATTGGGAGCGGCCAGGGTGAAAATAAACAGTCTCCAGGATCTCCCCGGGAGCTGGCAGTCAGCCCTCCCGAGCAGACCGTGCTGTCCATGGTGCTGAAGGGCTGCTGAATGCATGACCAACATCGCTGGGGTATTTACAACCCGAACAAGTTTCTTTCTGAAAGCATGGATTACAGTTTTAGTAACATATGAAACATTGTCCAGCTCATGATTAAAAATAAATAAACAAGGCTGCTTATTATTAATAACTATTAAAAACTTTGATTCATTTTCTTCCTTGTATTTGTCTTACATTTGAACAATTTCAAAAACCTCGTGCCTGCATCAATGAGAACCTTTAGACTTCAAGTTTAATCCAGTGTTTTGGATTTCATGGGATATATTGTAATAATATAATCACAGCAGAGTCTCTAGTGTTTTAGCGTAAGCAACTGAAAATGTTTATATGCGGTCTTGTCTTATTTGTAATGCAAAACCACATGGAAAGTGCACACCTATTCCCACAGTGATTAGATAGCTTGGTGCAGGAAGCTTGGCGGGCACACACAAATTTAGATTAAAAAGTTTCTTTTAGCTAAAGGCCACAGAACAACATAACATAAGCATTAAATCACATGCTATGTTGGTAATATAGCACATCATATGTATAGTTACAATGCAGCCCAATTTAATGTAACTTGTTATATGCAAATGATCTTCAGCCTGTCCTCGCAGCCAGAAGACGTGTGTGCTCTTATATGTCAGAGCTGGTTTTCAAAATAAGTCGAGGTCAGCCTTTCAGCCGCTGGCAGTGTATTCTCACTAACGGTGGGCTGATGTCAGCGGCAGCAGAGGCCTCGATCATCTGAAGAGTTCAGATGCTGCCAAACATCGGTCCTAGCTCAGCTGCACTAGTGGTCAAAGCAGTCGGCTTGCTGTTTGCAACAAACAGAAATGAGGCAAAGTGGAGGGGAGGGGGTATTTGGAAAGGCTCCAGCTCAGTGTGTTATGTTTGGGCTGAATTAACGCAATAAGCCCGTCTAATAAGAAGACCGCTGGGCTTTGTGCTTCTGCAGCTAAGAGATGAAAGAGAAAGCCAAAAGGAGAGACCCTGACCACAGCAAGTTGGCACAGCGATGCCTAACGAGCAAGTGTGACTGTTTAGCACTGTCAAACTTTATTACGCTTAGAATCAGCTTAACCTTCAGCTGGCTTCACTTATAGAAGACAGGTGGCCCACTGGCAGTTCCTGTGCAAGTCATAGATGGTGATGAATGGCAGCTCAGTACAAAATAAAGTGAATACAAAAGGGTTCTTCATTGAATTCTTTCCTTTTATCTTATATTTTTCACTTTAAAACATTTTGGTAGCTCAGTATATGACAAATCTCATACCTGTAAAGCAAAGTGAAATTAAACCTGTCAGCTGGTCAGCGGTAGCTTGTTGTCACCCATCCTTGCTGCTAGATTGGCCAAGGACACAGTCAGTATTCAGAGCACTCTCCGCTCCATGGCACCAGCCTTTCTCTCTTCTCCAGCAATCATCCTTATGGGTGTCTTATAGACATTTTTACTGGGTGATATGACTGGTATGAAAACACAGCATGTAACAGTACCATGCCTCATTGAGTAAAAGGTCTATTCAGGCACACTAACTGAAAATCAAGGTCATACTTGACGCGTATACGTAATTTAAGTGGTACTCTGTATGCCGGTTTTGCAGGAGCTTTCATAAATCCCCTTGGGCTGAGGTCAGAGGATGGTGGATAAAACACTTAACATAGAAAACTCACGCTGTTGCACAATGCTCCTCGCCAGCGAATCAGCGTGTGAGAACGCATCTCTAGCCATCTTTTCTGTGAAGTCCAGGTAGAAACATTGAATGTTTGATGAGAAAGTGAACCAGCAGGACACATTAGAAGTCTCAAAATGCCCACCGTGGCCAAACAAAGCTGAGTGCAGAGAGTGCTCAAGCATCCAGCCGGCCTTTGATGGGCTCGTACCCTTCTATACTCTCCTCAGCAGAGCCATTTTTGTCTGTGCCCCTGCAAAAGTTCATGGCATGTAATTATAGGTGTGTACAACCTTTCTACCCCCCCCCCCCCCCCTCATAGAGCTTAAAGACAGCAAAATATATGATGCACGCTTTTCTGGCCTTTAACTGCAGTTCTTCAGGGGTCTGCACACCAATTAACTGCATATACAGCGAGGTCAGCGATAATTACTTCACTGTTTTATAGACTGACGTGCGTACTTTGCCTTGTCGGCCGGGCTGACAGACTTTTTCTGTAGTTCGCGCTGCAGTGTCTGTTTTTGAGAAGAAACAGTGTGAGTCATACACGTGAATGAGCAACACCAAAGCTCTGTAAAGCAGGAAATGATGTGCAGACAGAGGGTGACCTATTTGGAATAAACAGGTTCGTTTTCAAAGGACTGCAATTTCATAAAGGTCAGGTTTCTACTTTCTGACTTCTTTGTTTATTGTAATATTTCTTTCTTTGTTTTATTGATACTCAAGAATAACTCAAGAACAAGAAATCATTCCTAGTAACGTATGTGCAAAATTGTGTGCTTTTTGTAGTATTTGCATAATTACCTCTGATGATTAATTGATACATAAATGACACACTTTGCCAGGAGGACCTATTGCACAATCAGGAGTCATGGGTTTTCAAGAGGTTTTTATGTTTTATATTGATGTAGTTCCATTTTGCATAAGATGATGCTGTATCACAATAATTAAAAATAATAGTTAGGGCTTGTATTCCTGCTTTCCTAACATGGCAAGTTAGCGGCCCATAAAAAGCCAGTTTGTGCTTAATTAGATCAAATATTTAATATATACACTCACTGGACACTGTATTAGATAGAAACCAGGTTGGGCCCAATTTTGCCCAATCTTTCATGTTGTTTATGCCAAATTCTCACACATCTGAATGTTTTAGCAGAAATCGAGACTCATCAAACCAGGCAATGTATTTCCAATCACCTGGTGTCCAATTTTGATGAATCAATGTGAAATGCAGCTTCAGTTTCTAGATCTCAGCTGACAGGAATATATCACCCACTGTGCTCTTCTGCTACCATAGCCAGTCTGCTTTGAAGTTGTTATACATTCAGAGATTTTGTTAATTTTCTGCATGACTTGGTTGCAAAGAGCAGTTATTTGAGCTGCTGTTGCCACCTTATTTTTAACTCAAAGCAGTCTGGCCATCTTCCTGTAACTGACTTCTAGGTCACTTCACTTAGGTATTATTAGCAAAAGTGGTTTTTCAACCACACCCCAAGTTTAGTTTTCAGCTCCTGATTCAGACATTCTCTTCTGCTTGTCCTTGTCAGGGTCACGGGGGGTAGAGGGATGGCCATCCCAGTTGTCTTAGGGCAAGACGGCAGTTACACCCTGGACAGGTCGCCAGTCTGCCACAGGGCTAACACATAGAGACAGATAACCATTTTGGGCAATTGAGAGTTACAAATTAACCTATTGCCACTAACTGCATGTCTTTGGAATGTGGGAGCCGGAGTACACGGAGAGTTCCCACCATGCCACCATGCTGCCTAACTAACTGGCAACTCCTGATCCATTCGTTAATAACTTTCTCACTGAAGCACACTGAGTCACAGTAGTTGAGCGTGAGTCACAGAAAGCTAGAAAAGGAACAAAGTGTCACATGTTGAATATGGGATTAGTTTCTCATCAAACCAAACTCACCGAGTTCAAACAGATCAAACAGGATCATCACATCAAAACTTCAAACCTCTATGCTTCAAGCAGTGGTGAAAAAGGACAGTGAGAATATTAGGAACACGCGAGGTGATGAGAAAAAGAAAAAATAATAAGGACCAAATAACAAAAGGTTTTGAGGTAAACAAAAAATCCAGGTCAGAGACAGAAGGCAGACAGAAAACAAATGAGACGACAGAGCTCAGCGAAGACGAGCTGGTCTTTCTGGTCACCTCAGTCTCCCTCCACATATTTCTCTTTGTATCATTATCTCCGTTCGTTGTTGTTGGCTTTTACTCCCATAGTCCATCTGCTCTATTGAGAGGCTTGTTGTGAAAGGAGCTTTAAATCCTGGTTGAATGTAGAGGTGGAAAGTGGTTGGAGCTCAGCATGAGAGCAGCAGTCATTGAGCTGCACTTGTCACTGCCGCTGGACCAGAAATGCTCCAGCTCTCTGGAGTAAACGCTGCAAATGAGAACTTTTGTCCAGATACAAATCAGACTTTCAAAAGCAATCTGAGGAAAAGACTGATTTTGATGCTTTTTCTAGACATTTCAGATGTGTTCCACTTCTCTACATGTTAATGCATGTCCATCCCTCCTTGGGGACTGATACACTTTTTTAGCATTGTGCTAAAAAGGTCCAACTCCTTCAAGCTGCTGTTAAGAATCACTATGTTATAGCAGCATACAGCATATAAAGACCTCCATTTATATTCAAATATTAGAAGTTTTAAATTTAATTTCAAAACGTGATAATACATTTTCTTCAAAATTATACATTCAGTTTCAGCATTTTCAAAGTTTTTGATCACTGCTTGCTGCAGGTTGAATTGGGTTTATGGCACATTACAGCTGTCTCCCGGCAACTGTTGTTTGTCCATTTTTTACATCTCTTTTTTTTCTATCAGTATTTTATGTCATCCACACAACTCCATTTGTGTAACTATGATTGCAGCTGTGACAGAAACTTATCCTTCTTTAGCCCTTTTTGAGATTTTGCTGCAGTCTGTTAAACACGTGACAGAGACAGCCCTGTGCCCAGTCACTTGCACTGCTGCAACTCTGTACTAAACAGAGTAATGTGTCTCAACAGTA